GTGCCCCTGGCTTAGACGGTCTCGTCACCCCCTCTCGTCCATGGCCTCCTTGCTGGGACTGCCAGCACATGGGTCCCGTCGATGGGGCCCTGGGGTCAGGAGCTGGACTGAGACCCAACCAACTCGGTCCACATGGCGAAGTGGTGGGTGGGGGCGCAGGGCGTTAGATTGGAAGCAGCTTCCAGCCTGAGACAGGGCTGGATCCGGGCTGGTGCCAGGGAATTAAACGACTCCCAGCCACTTGATCCCCACCCCCACCTGGCTCTTTTTAACCCCCCCTTCCCAGCCAGGAACTTGTGTGTGGGGGGGGAGTTTGTCCGTCCCTCCCCCCAGCCCCTATCAAGGATGAAGCTGGAGCCCTCGCTCCCCGCTCTGGCCCTTGGGATCGGTCCCCGGGGGTGGGCGCCGGCCCGTGATGGGAAAAGGGGCAGGGATGCCGTGCGGTGTGTGGGCAGCGGGGAGATGAGAAGCAGGCGCAGCTGGCGTCATGCCCTGGCAATTTTTAGCCTGGAAGGTGGGTGGCTTTTCAGCCCTCCCTATGCTGGTGCTGTCAGCTCGGAGAGACACCTATGGGGGGATAGCCCAGCCTCCCACCCACCCAGTGCCCGCAGGGCAAGTCTGCTGCCACCGGGCCTGTGCCAAGCAGGGCTAGACAGGGTCAGGGCTTTGATGGGAGACCCCCAAGTAGCAGCAGTGATGCTGGGGGCTCCCTAGGGGCTGCTTCTCCTCCTGGGTCAGGAATGAGCCAGTCCCTTGGGGGGTTCACTAGGGGGCGCTCTCCCCTGGCACTCAGTGCGAACCCCCGTGTGGCACTAGGGAACGCTGTGCTTCAGGGTGGGGGCGGCTCTCCCCTCCCAGTTAAGGTCTGGGCAGCGACTGCCGATTCTGTAGCACTTTTGCAAGTGACGTGGGTATTACTGGCCGCGTTCCCTGATTAAATTCCTCTGACCTCAGCTCCCCCCCTGCAGTTTCTTCTTGGCTCAGGATGATCCTTCGCAGCCCGCCCCGTGCTGCAGTGCAGCGCTGGCGTGTGCCGGCAGACGGCCGCCGCATCCCACCCCAGAGGTGGCCGCCTCTCCAGAGCAGGTTGGAACCGATCCCTGCGTCCCCCATGTGCAGAAGCACTTGGAGTCGAAAGTCGCTTGAAGATTTTATCTCACGCTTAGCTACTATGGGAACAGGAATATTAGAACTGATGAGAGACCGAGATCTCGCGTCGGTACTAATTATCGGTCTCGTTATCATGGCGTCTGAGCGCCTCACAAGCCCCCTCTTCCTGATGGGGGAAACTGAGGCACACGGCACTACGGGAATCTATAGCAGAGCACTGAATTGAACTCAGCTCTGCCAAGTCCCAGACTAGTGCTCTAACCCCTGGGCCATCCTTCCCGCCTACGTAGGGGGTGGGGGATGGATGGGGATAGGTTAGCTCTCGTCTCTCTGGTTCAGGGGTTACTGGGATAGTAGTGGATGGATGAATGATCTTGGGATGGGAGTGGCACAGGATGGGTGGATGGGGCTGGCAGAGGGTGTGTGGATGGGCCTGGCAGAGGGTGGGCGGGTGGATGATACCACAGCAAAGCAGACAGCTCCGAGCCCTCTCTCTGTGCCTCGTGCCGTGCAGACCGAGAACTTCCTAGGGCTGGATCCCGCGCCGTCCCCTCCCTGCGCTCTGCCCCGGCTGCTCGATGCGCCTGGGATCTCAGCCCGGCCCCCGCTGGGCTCCTTGCCGCCGGCCAGAGGGCGAAGGGCCTGGCCAGGAAATCAGCTGGGGATTAATGCTAAGGACCTTAGTTCTCCGAACTGAACTGAGCCCCTTATGTAAGAGCCCCACGGAGGCCCCTCGTGGCCAGCACGTGGGGGCGGCTCTCGGAGGGCTGCGCTGTTTGATCTTGGGGATCCCTGCCCAGGTGGGGGTGAGGGGCCCTGAACCGAAGCCTCCCTGGGCCCCTCCGAGCATGTGCTCGGGGTGGCTGGCTCCTGTTGTTAGCCCGGGCGGGGGGAGTGGGTGTAAACCTGCCACACCCATCAGCTGCCCCTCCGCCTCGCCTGGCAGAGCACCGCCTTGGCAGAGCTGGCAGCTGCAGGGCTGGTGCCCCTGTGGCCATGGGCTGTGCTCAGCTGGGACCTAGCTGCTGGCTGCCCCGTGGGCGGCTTGGGGAGCCGCCGGCCGGTCGATCAGGGTGGCTTTAATCTCTTCGCCAGGGTGGCCAGTGAATTGCTGAACCCAGATAAATACATTTCTCTCCACTTTCCCCTCTCCTCCGCCTTTCCCTAGGGAGGGTGTTTTCTCAATTATTCTCCAGCCCCCTCTCCCCTCGCACGCTTTCATTTTCTTTTTCTCTCACTCTTTCTTCCAGACAGGATTTACTTTGATTTGCCCTCCCCTCCGTCCCAGTCCCTCTCTCCTCTCCTCCGTCCCAGTCCCTCTCTCCTCTCCTCCGTCCCAGTCCCTGTCTCCTCTCCTCCGTCCCAGTCCCGCTGTGACCTCCTCTCCCCTCTCTGGGCTGACCCTCCACCTTTGACGCTCTTCCACCCCGCACAGAGTGGTGCTCGCCGGGCGGGAAGCAGCCCACCGATCCACGTGCGGGTCTGCCCAGATGTCTCACCGTGCAGGGCCAGAGACACACGCGTGTTCACGCTCCTTGTGCGCACACACGCCCGTGCCCCACACGCCCGCACGGCCCCACGCGCCTGCCCGCAGATGCCCTCCCACCCGGAGCCCAGCTGCCCCTCCCTCCCTGCCCCCATTGGTGCTCCCACCCGCTCGGGACCCCCTAAAGACAACGGCGGCGGAGCCCAGGGCAGACTGGGGCTGGGGCTCTGGGGGCAGAGCCGGGGCTGGGTGAGCGCCCCCAGCCCCGTTCCTCCCCCTCTGGGCAGACCTGGTGCTTTAAGGAGCTCTCAGCCCCCGGTGAGTTCACTGGCTGCAGCCTGGATTGGCCCCTCCCTGTCTGGCCCCCCCACCCCTCCCCCCCCCCCCCCCACCCCTCGGGGGAGGCCCATCGCCAGAACCTAAGGGCCAGGTCGGCAGACCCCCCCCCCTATTACAGCATGCATGCCCCCCCCCCCCCCCCATGCTCCAGCCATCCCAGCCCCAGCTCTGCCTGCTGATCTCCCTGGGCATGCAGCGTGGGGGGCGTAGAGACACCCCTCCACACACCTTGTCGTCCCCCGCCCGCTGTTCTGTTGATCCCCCCCCT